TAAATAAACTCAATTTTGATTTTATAATAAATTATTTTAATTTTTTTCAATAAATTTTTTTTAAAAACGATATAATTTTAAGATTTTTTATTTTAATTTTTTAAAAATATGATTAATAAATATTTTTTTACATTTAAAAAGATTTTTATAAATTAATTTTAAATTAAATATTAATTATTAATTAACAATTAACAATTATAGTCATCTATTATTCTTCAAAGTCAAACCAAATACCAACATTGCTGACAGAAGTTATGTACGTTTCATTTAATACGTTCTAACTTTTCAAATATCTTGGTAAAGTCCACTCCACACTAAAAAAAAAATCCCAGATGGGAAATAGCCAGACTGGAAAAACACAATGTCTCTCACAGGGCCCCATAAATCTGCAATAATGCATATAGGAAAGGACTCATACTCACTAGAAAGCCACATGACTAGGACCAAAAATGATTTTCCAAAAAAAAAAAAAAAAAAGGACCGAAATGAGTCATTACAATAAGCCTTCTGTAGGGTTGTACGGAGTTGCTTCCCTGATGTCAGGTCGCTACTGTAAAAAAAAAAAAAAAAAGGGGTGAATCTCAGTCAATCATTTAGGGGTGGGCAACAAAATTCGTAAAAAAAAAAAGAGGATCAAAATCATAATTGACAGATTAAGTTGGTTTGAGGGTTAGGTTTAAAAATTGAAAAATCTATGACTTTACTAGGTATAACAAAAAATGCGGATACAAAAATTTTTTATATAAAATTTTTAATAATCTTTATATTTTTTAAGGTTTTATCGCCATTTTTCACTAGATTATATGTTTAGTTAAATTATTTTTTAATAAAAATGAGATTTTAAGTACGTTTTTCCAAAAAAATAAAAAAGATTTAAGGAATGATCTTCCCCATATTAAAACTTGATAGGTGCTATTTCATTCAAAATAATCAAGAGATTTGCCAAGCTTGTAATAAAAGCAATAATGAGCGTGGATACTAAAAACCTTGTCATAATCAGATAATAAAACCATTGAAGAGACTGTCTTCTCACCCCGTCGGGCACGTCATTCCTATTATTAGGACAAGCTTTACCTAGCGGATTAGACACCTATACACAAACCGTCCATACAGTCACGGGCCATCTACTATTCTCCTTAACAAAACAAGAAATTACTTTTTGGTTAAAATTGCATTTTGGTTTTTGAATTATTGTATGAATTTTTGATTTGATTCTTAAATTTAAAAAATCTTTAATTTGACCTTACTATTTATCATTTTTATCCTAATTTGATATGTTCAAATTTTGATGACGAAGTCTGTTATTTCATTGTTACAAGATGATATGTCAAATATTAATACACGTGAAAGATAATATGACAAACAAGTGATGATATGAAAAAATAATAATATAAAAAATTAAATAAAAAATTAAAAAGTAATTTTTTTTTCTTTTCCCTTCTCTTTTCCTTTTTCTTTCCCTTCTCTTTTCCTTTTTCTTTCCCTTTCTCTTTCCCCTTCCCCTTTTCTTTCCCTTTCTCCTTTTCTTTCCCCTTCGAATCCTTCCCCTTGGAACCCAGCACGCTTGGGTTTGGTGGAACCCATGTGCTAGGTTTGGTGGAACCCAGTGTGCCTGGGTTCCTTCAAACCCAAGCACTAGGTTCGATGGAACCCAGGTCCGAGTTCCTTCGAACTCATGTGTTGGGTTCCTTTGGACCAAGTCCTGGGTTCCACCAAACCCAGGATTTTTGGATTTGAGTTCTGTTTTTTTTTTTTTGGTTTTGGTTTTGATGATTAATGATGATGAAGATGAAGAATTGACTGATGAAGAAGGCAAAGTAAGGAAGTAGAAGGAGAAAGAAAGGGTGTTGGATTCCTTTGAACTCAACATGCCTGGGTTCAAAAGAATCTATGAGCAAAAAATTTTTAAATAAAATTTTGTTTTTTTAGTGAGTTTTATTGTTTGATGATGATGATGATGATGATGATGAACCTAATAAGAGTAGAAATTGGTTGAAATGAATAGATTGGTTGAGATGCTACAAATTGGTTGAGATCTTAGGGTTTGCAGAAGTTGAAGAAGGGTAGATGAAAGAGAGGAAGGAAAAAAA